AACTATGTAATTACAACAAGATGTACAACTGCCATTACCTTTTATTCCCATCAGTTACTGTATACCTTGGTATACAGTAGTTTGGTATAATCAAGAAACTAGAGGGTAGTCTACTGCCTTTTAATGTAACATGGACATCAAACAGTAAATGAATGGAGAGTACAACAATCTTCCGAGTGGGTTAAAGAGAGATGAGTTCACAGATTCTCCCGTAATAGCCTATCCCTAAGAGTCTTTGCTGATTCTACGCACCAATCAACCTTCTGACAACTCATATACATCAGCAACTTCTACATTTAAGAGAAGACTTGCACAGTGCCTACTATGTGCCAGGCATCACATCCTGGCACTTCATACGAGTTTTCTCAATCCTGATGAAAAATATAATGGCAGAGAAACTCTCTATCCCCACTCTTTTCAGCGAATGAAAGTAGTTCAGCACCTAATCAGCTAAATATATGTAATAAATTTGAATACAGTTAAAAGTCTGACAACTCACTGAAGAAAAGAAACATTAGAAATTTGTGTTTAAGAAAGAGGGCATCCATCATGAGATTTTTACCTAATTACAGTAAAAGCTGTAAAAAAAAATGTGGATATGGTATAGTCATTGGATATAACAGTTACAGATTTTCATCAAATTAAATTATAACTATGTGATAAGTCATTAGTAAAAAAAATGATCAAAATGTGTCTTACTACCACATACATAAATACTTCATGTTCAGAACTAAGATGATTGTCAGGGATAAGAAGGGGAGAATATGACCAGTCACTTAATATGGTTAAAGAACAAATCACTAGGCATCTTCCTTACATCCCATAATAGAAAGAAACCCAAATATTCACAGTTCCTAAATCTCAACTTTGAGAAGGGAGCTGGAAAGATTATGGCTAACAGCAGTCTCCACTGTCTCTAAAACTTACCCATCTCCACGTTTCTGTCTCATTCCATGTTTCCTGACTAGTTTAGAGGCTCTCCAAAGTCACTTTACATTAACAGACAATACACACCTGATTTCTACATATTAATAACCCCATGTATGGTTCTTTCCTATAGATCGTCACAAAAATGAAACTCTGCGGTAGCTTAAGTTACTAGAACCATATCTTCTGCTCCAAGAGACTCTACGATTAGAAAACTACAGATATCCCCAAACCACCATTTCCAAAGAAATTACATCTTAGAAAAACAACACCCAAACACATACTAAAAACACTAATCAATACCGCTAAGTGCCAACTGCGTAAGAGAAGACAAAAAGGAAGATTAGGGAAGATATCACTGGTCTAACACTGCAAAACCAGAAGAAGAAAAAAAAAAGATTTAAATATCCCCTCTGTTACTCCCAAGATATATCTTGAACAGGATGCTTAAATTCTAGAAGACTGTTTCCTACTGTCAAAAGCAAGTGTTATACCACCTAACTCATAGAGCTGTCTTATAACAGTATCATTTAAGGTCCACAGACAAAGTGGGCATTTAATAAATTGTAATAGGTACTGTTATTATTGGGAGATTTGAGATGCAAATTCAGTTATAAAGTAAGTCTTTGGTGAACACTAAGAAGGGAACAGTTAGTAAGAACTGTCAGCCTCCCCTGCAACATGACTAGATTATTAAACACTGGTGTCATAAGGGTGATATTTTTTAAGTACTCCTTTGATAATGATTAAATTGGGGGTTAAATTTTTTTTTAGAGTTGTTGCTACTTAAGATGACTAAAAACCTTGCACATATTTATCCAGAACTGTGGAATTTTCTCATGTTGTCATCTTACTATTATAGTCAATTCTCATCCTATGTAGATTCCTCACATTTCACTTCATCCATAGCAAATCTCACCTTAAAATGTATTAACAATAATATAACTATCCAAAGACCTGTATTTTGTTGTTTATTATTTTCGCACTCCCTCTATTTAGTCTGATATATTCTTTTAGAAAGCTCTTGGAAACTAAACCACCACTTGTTCCATTCTGAAAAAAATATGAACCAAAAAACCATGCCAGAATGATGGTCTATTACCAGCATTAAGGGGATTACAGAGGGGACCCAGAGAAGAAATGCAAAGATTCCCACTTTCTTCCAAGTCACATGTTTAAAAATCTAGATCTATTTCATATAACCAACTGCCAGATTACCACACACTCATATCCAAAAGCAAGTAAAGAAATATGACAAAGCCATGTATAAACTGTTTCATATACTCTTCTGGATCTCCTCTATAAGCATGAATGATAACAAATTGACTATTCTGTTATACTTTGTTTCCTTTAAACTTGCTAGCCTTATTTTCATAGGTACTCCCTATCACCTTAGAATCTATACACTTAGATCTTCATATGGTGAACTGACTCATTTGTAAATACAAGGCATTCTAGATGTCCATGGACTGATCACCACCTCATTTTATAGCTTCACTTCCCATAAAAACCTCCTGGCACAGCAGCCTTACCTCCAGTTCAACAGGCCCCACCATACCAAAACAACATGTCCCTGCTCAACTGCTCCCTTCACCTACAAAAATACCACCTCTACACATACAGAACCATTTTGACCATTAAAATATTTTAAGGCCTAAATGGAGTACTACCAGCTTTAAACTCGTTTGTAATTCCCAAAAATTAGTCTCTCTCTCTCTCATACACACACCATCACCACCACCCCCACACTTCCGTATATCTCTAATAAGCCCCACAGGAGTCCTGTGTTGCAATTATTTCTGTGCCTGTCTGCTTCTCCCTTAAAGGTAACTAACTGGATCTGATTCCTCTTCATGTGTCTACCCACTCTTTCATCCTAAACACACAGTAAAAGTCCCTTGCACAAAGTAAAGTTTCAGTTTGAACTAAACCATTCCTTTGTTTGAATCCTAGTTCTTTTATTTGAAGTAATAAATGCATTTCATGTGATGAAGATTTTGTTATTAGTTAATGCTTACAAATCTAACAATGAAAATGTCAATAATTATATAATTCATTAATTTTTCAGTTAACGACCTCTTGGTCAATGAGCACACTAAGTCATCAGTAAAAAAAAAATCATTTTCCAAGATTCCGCCAAAAGTCTCATACACATCAACATTAAAGTTAAACTTTCTGTTCCCCATTCTAAGAACTACTTACACCTGAGGCATATCCAGAAAAGGAAGCTCCCTGAATACCAAAGTGTCTATCCACTCTGCTCTGAATCTATACCAAAGCTATGCAGTATATTTTATTACACCTTTCTTCCAATTCCCATAAATATGATTTTCATGTTTTGTACAAACTATATGGTTAATGTATATAAAATATGAAAATAATTTATCTTAGCTCAGAATACGGTTAAAGCAAAAGTTTGGGAATAATTATAAAATACACTAAGTACATCTCTCCACTTCCCTCCCCCCAAAAAGTTACTAAGAATGTCACAAACCAGATCTGATTTTTGGTGGGAGGTGTTTTCTGAAACTGGCCTCACATCTTGCAAGTTTTATGATACTTTTCTTTCACAATATGCTTATTTATAAGGAAAGCAAATATTCTTCAAAAACATACACATGGCTTTACTAGCTAGATATTTTTAATTTAAAAAAGTATTCTAAGTAACCTCTTTTACTCTGTGTGGGCCAATGTCATTCCTATCACAAGAAGTAACTGCAAACGTAAAAGATATTAAGTACTGACTTTTTCTTAAAATCAGTAGGTTGTTAATTGTCCAATTAAAGTCGATGTTCTAAAACCAAAGGTTTAAAAAGGGTCACTTGCTGACCAGCCTAGGCACTCATTACAACAGAGTTAAAACTAATTCGCACAATGGCAGCAACAGTAGCCATCTCCCACACACACTCTCCCACCCATTAACTTTTCCTCCTTCCCTGGGAGAACTGGAACCATCCTAACAAGGCCTAACTACCCCCACCCCAGAAGCACACACACATCTCCATCACTACCCCGCAGAAAAGAAACGTGGGGGCTGTGGACCAAGAGAGCCGACGCTTCTGTGTGTCACTTCCCCTAGCAAGTAGAATAAACAAACCAGCAGCCTAACAGTAACCATCAGAGTAATTTTGTTTCCCCGACTAATGCCTTGGGTAAGTTTTGAGCTAAGTCAAAAGCTCTAACAAATAGGTAAATCCCTGCCCCCTCCCCCCGCAACCTGGAAACAAATACCCCATCGGGAAGTTTCTCCCCGAAATGAATGCTAGCCCCTGACCCCTCCCTCCAGCCGACCGATAGCTCCCACCCTCTTGCCTAAAATCCCTACTCCGAAGGGAACTGTCTGGACAAAACCGAGGAGCGCTGGGGGGCTGCACTCCCGACATCCCAACCCTCCCCCCAAAAGCCCCTGCGTTTGCCCACCTCGCCCACCTCCCCGCGGTCCCCACTCGCGCCGCCCAACTCGGGCAACTTCTGCGGCCAGCCCGGCCCGCCGCCCGCGGCCCCCCTCCTGCCCAGCGAGCCCGCGGCGCCCTCGCCCCCCGGCCGCGGCCCCCTCCAGCCCCGCGCCTCCGCGCCCCCGCCCGGGTCCTCCCCGCCCACCCCTTCCCGAGGCCCCCGCTGGCGGCGCCGCCCCCGCCGCACCCCACCCCACCCCACCCAGCCCGGGACCCCAGCCCGCCCAGCCCCACCCGGGCAGGAGGGCGCCGCGGCCGCGCCGAAGCTGCCGGCGGGCCGGGGCCGCCCAGCCAGGCGCCAACGCAGAGGGGGCTTTACCTCAGAGGCGCGGCCGCCAGCGGTGGGTCGGCCCCGGGCGCGGGCGGCGCCCCCCGGTCCGTCAGTCAGTGGCGGCGGGGGCAGCGGCGGCACATTGCTCCCGCCGGCGGCCGGAGGAGGAAAGCGAGCCACGCAGGGAGGGAGCGAGCGAGGTAGAGGGGGAAGGAACGAGCGAGGGAGGTAACGCAGCTCGGCTCGGACTCGGTCCCCTCACTGCTGCCGGTGCGTCCTACCGCCGCCTCTGGCCGGAGAGTCGCCGCCCGGGCCGCTGCTGTCGCCACCGATGCAGCCGGCAATGAATGCACAGCGGCGCCTCCTCGCTTATCCGGAGGTCAAACATCCTTCTGCCTCGGGCATCCGGATCGGCGCCGGACCCGGAAGTGAACGCTTGGGGAAAAAAAAAAATAAATAAAAAAGGGAAGCGTCTCTCCAGCGGCGGCCGCCCCTTGAGCTGCCCGCATCAGCGAAAAGAGCCGAGTACAGCCGAAGGTTACACCGACTTGCTCAGATTGGTCGGCTTGCCGACCGGAAGAAAAGCAGCTTGTTCATTGGCTGGAAAGGCCTATAAAAGCCAAGCCACGCCTCCCTCCCCACCTCCGCACCCGTGGTGCGTGTAGAGATCGTGGGGTAATTGTGGAAACGCGTCTGTTTCCCTGGGTGAGGCCTTGGGAGAAGAGGCTTGGTTAGGTCTCTGGCAAGAACTGGGAGAAAATCGCCCATGGTTTAGAGGAGGAATGAAAAGTCCCCCGCTGCTTGAATGAGAAAAGAGCCTAAGGGCGCCATTGTGCCAAGTCAGGTTGCCGAGGCTTTGCCGAGTGTGAGGAACACACCCCTCCAGGTGCCAAAGAATTTGAAAGCCTGGGCTCAGGGAATGACATCACTGGATTGACTTTTCCCCCCACTTTTTTGTAACTCCAGTGCTGTATCTAGCATTCAGACGCTTAGAAATTGTGACTCACGTTTGCATTCCATTTGCTGTCTATAGAGAAGTCATTTGTGAGTTCAAGTAATCCTCTCAACTATATAGTGTGGTAACTATTATAATTACTGTTATGTAATATTGTCTATCTAGCCAATCTCCTGAAGTTCCTGGAAACCAAACATCACTCAACTCATCAACTCGTCAAACTGAAACCGATTCAAACTGAACTGTTCTCCATCCAGTTCACTCTGCCCAAACAGGGAAGGCAGATTACATTCTTTCTCTTACGGTTGGTTATATAGGAGACCTCTATGGAAATCAATCCACCATGAAGGCATGGTAGAGGACTCAGAAACTATCATTTCTTGGAAGCTGTGTCTAAAGCCCTTTCAAAAGTCAGACACAAAGGTGTGCATGAAGAAAAATCAAACTTATCAAACTTCTTTTTATATTTTCAGTGTACTTGCCGCATCAAGGAAGACTTGAGTCAGTCTCTTTCACACACACACCACACAAAAAACTTGAAAGGCTTCAATGAAACAAATGCACTTTAAAATGACTGAGGATTTCTCTCATTTTCCCTTTCTACTTTAGCAGGCTGTGATAGAGTCAATGTGTAATGCTCAGAGGGGTAGTTAGTATGGAAAGATGCCATTTTTGTTTTTGTAGTACAACAGTATCTCTTTTTTCCCTCTCTAATCTCATGCTTTCCCAGACTGGAGGCTATGAAGTGACTGGTATCGCGTGTCGTAGAGGAACGGTGGTAGTAAGGACTGCCTCTGTGTTTACCACACTACCATCATTTTTTTAGAGACTCAAAAAGCAACTACAGTTTGTGCATGCTCAGGCTTGGGGATAATATCCCTAAAATAACACATCTCCACAGTTCTGATATATTCCAGGACCAGATACTGGACAAGAAATAGAATTAAGCATATCTCACTAAATGGTGAAGAAATGTCTGCATTTTAGGAACTGTAAATATTGTCATCAGCGATCAACAAACCATTTTATACTCTGCACCTCAAAAACCTCAGTTTAGATCAAGAACACCTCTACATCAAAGTCTGGTAAATGTTTAAGAAATACAAGTGTTTAATTAGATCAAGTCACATTTTAAAATCATATCTGGATTGGAATAATAAATGTTTATGTTTTTAAACACTTCAGTAAAGACTGATTTTGATAAGATTTGACCTAGAAGCTCCTATAGATTAAAATTGGCTGGTAACCTAAGTAAGAAGTCAGTAATGTTTTCTTACAGTTCTATTATCTTCTAAGAAAAAATTGGCAATACAAAATAACTTATGTTAAAGAGAGAATAATCAAATTACAGGCATCTTAACCAAAACTCTTTGTTCTGTAGCATGATGTCTTAGCATGAGCAGACAGATCATCATTTTTATCTACTATATTATTTATAGTTAATTTCACCACCTGTTTCCTAACATTTGCTACTCATTAGGTGTTTATATTATTATTAGTATTTTTCATATTTCCCAAAGCAGTGTCACATTTTTTTATCACCCAGAACTTTATTTTGTTGAATTTATATCTCTATGGTGGTGGTGATCTGACTCTTGTGACCACATGGAATGTCGTCTGCCAGGCTCCTCTGTCCATGGGAATTCCCAGGCAAGAATCGTGGAGTGGGTTGCCATTTCCTTTTCCAGGGGATCTTCCTGACCCAGGGATCAAACCTACATCTCCTGCATTGTAGGTGGTCTCTTGCATTGTAAGTAGACTCTTTACTGCTGAGCCCTTATGTCTCTATAGATATAAGCAAATATCCATTCCATCATTTGGGCATGCAACAACTGTTATTATTTTGGAAAACAGGATAAAAGCAGATTTACCACCCATTTAGAGCTAGGAGGGAAGTTACTTCAAAATGGCTTCAGTCTAAGACTATCATGAATTCCTTAGGAAAAAACAATTTATCAAGTGGGAATTTGAGAAGGGAAGAAAAAGCAAAATTTCTGGGTGCCTTTAATAGTATAAATAGTCCAATATCTCCCTTACATCTTTTGATTCTTTATTTCTGTTACTGTATCTCTTCTCACCTCTTTTCACACTCACTGTGTTACCTAGCCATGCCAATTTACACACACAGACACACATACAACCAGAATGGAGAGAGTTTAGGAATAAGGCCTTCAATTAGAGTTTTAAAAGCAGGAAAGCTATTCCATTTCCTTTTTTGTCTCAGTTGAAATCTTACTGCATGCCAAAAAAAAGAAAAAATGGCCAGCTTTACTTTCCACAAAATTACCTACTATTCTTTCTCTCAAGCAAAAAACTTGTAGGACATGATAAAAAAAAAAAAAGCATTTGTCAAAAGAGAAATTTGATAAATACAAGTTTCCAGGATATCATCAGAGATTATAAGCACTGACATATAGATCTGTGTTATAATCATTTTCTCCTCTGCCTCTCATACATACTATTAAAATTCTCTCCCAAGCCAAACTTGTTTTGCACATATTGGTCAAGAAATACCCTAAAAATATAAATAAGCACCAAAGACTAATTAATCTACACTCTACTTTGGTGTTGTGTATCAGCTGTGTAGGGCTTCCCTGATAGCTCAGACGGTAAATAATCCCCCTGCAATGCCGGAGACCTGGGTTAAATCCCTGGGTTGGGAATATCCCCTGGAGAAGGGAAAAGCTATCTACTCCAGTATTCAGACCTGGAGAATACCATGGTCTGTATATCCATGAGGCTAAAGAGTCGGACACAACTGAGCGACTTTCACTCACTCACTCACTCATCAACTATGTGGCCGACCTGGCTGAGCTAAATGCAGACAGATATTTTCCAACTAACAATGTAACAAGCAACATTTGCACAAACTCTGATGTATATGATTCTTTCTGTTGATTCTGACAACAGCTTATGAAGTAATATAGCAGATATTTTTTTCCTTCCTAGGAAAGAAGAAGGATGGGCTCAAAGATAAATTGATTTGCCCAAGATGTACAAGTGATAAACTGTTAAATATAAACTACAAAATGAGATTAAATCTTTACCAGAACTTTCCAAAATAAAAATAAAGGAAACAGTCATTTTCATGGAGGACAGATGTAATTAAGAAAAGATAAATGGAACTTCCCTGGTGGTCCATTGGTTAAGAATCCACCTGCCAATGAAGGGGACAGGGGTTTGATCCCTGGTCTAAGTTCCATGCCCATGTGGCAGCTAAGTCCATGTGCCACAACTGCTGAAACTCACAAACTGCAACTACTATAACTGGTGTGCCCTAGAGTCTGTTCTCTGCAATAGAAGCCACTGCAATGAGAAGCCGTCACATAACAACTAGAGAGTAGCCCCTGCTCGTCACAGCTAGAGAAAGCCCACACACGGCAACGCAGACCCAGCGCAGCCATTAATAAATAAATATAATTTTAAAACATGAAAAAGTAAATAGTCTTATTACTGGAAGTTATGTGATAAATAACTGCTCAATGTACAGCATAATTAATACAAGTAATACTTCTGTGTGTTATATATGGAAGTTGTAAAGAGAGTAAATCCTAAGATTTTTTTATTTTGCATCTATATGAGATGATGGATATTCACTAAACAGTGTGGTAATTATTTCATGATGCATATGTGAGCCAAATTGTTGTGTTGTACTCCTTAATCTTATACAGTGCTCTATATCAATTATATATCCATAAAACCAGAAAGAGAAAAAAAATTAAGGTATGTGGCCTCAAAACACATTTATTTTCTTAAAAATTAAAAAAATAAGAGGACAAGAAACATTAATATATGGTGAAGTAGAAGCAGGAAGAATGAGACACTAGCAATAGCCAGAGCCTGGGAGCAAAGATACATGTTCTACTCAGAATAGAAAAATAACTTTTCCCCAGTCAAGCCTGAAGTAGGGGCAGCAAGGGAAGGCTTCTGGGAGAAAGCCAGTCACAGGCAGCAACGAGGTCAGGTTTGGGGAAAGCTGCGCCTTCGCACGGAGAAGGCAATGGCACCCCACCCCAGTACTCTTGCCTGGAAAATCCCATGGACGGAGGAGCCTGGTAGGCTGCAGGCCATGGGGTCATGAAGAGTCAGACATGACTGAGCAACTTCACTTTCACTTTTCACTTTTATGCATTGGAGAAGGAAATGGCAACCCACTCCAGTGTTCTTGCCTGGAGAATCCCAGGGATGGGGTCGCACAGAGTCGGACACGGCTGAAGTGACTTAGCAGCAGCAGTAGCAGCCCCTTCGCCACCTTTCCTTCAGACTGTTTCACGAGTCAAGTCAGAGAGGGTCAAGGCACCGGCTTACACAGCCCAAGAAAATTGTTTGAAGTATTCTGTGGTTGGCAAAAATGAACACATAAGAATCAAAGAGCTTTTCTGAGAGGTTTTATTGTATTTTGGAGTCATAGTCTTCAGTATTGTATTTTATAATCACATCTTTCAGACTCCTTGTCTTAGCTCAGGCTGACGTAAAAATATCATCGCCTGAGTGGCTTAAACAACAGAAATTTTTCTCACAGTTCTGAAAGCTAGAAGTCTAGCCACCAGGGTGCTAGCATGGGCTCTCTCCCTGGCTTTCTGATGGCTAGCTGCCTTGTCATCATGTACACATATGACCTTTTCTCGACGCATGCAATCTGTCACTCTTCCTCTTTTTAAAGGGGCCCCAAACCCATCAAGAGACCCACCCTCGTGACTTCATATAAAC